AGACTGGCTAAAATTTAGGTATGTCAATATCCAAGGTTGGCAAGAGCAACAGGAACTCGATACTGCTGGTGGGAATGCCAACTGATAACCTGGAAAACAGTTTAGCAGTACCTTCCAATCCAGCAATTTCATTCCTGGACATATGCAGTAGAGAAACTCTTTTTCCTAAGTCCCAGAAGATACGTACAAGAACGTTCAGATTAATGCTGCACAACGCAACCATCCATCAACATGGATAAACTGTGGTATACATGACAGCATTACAGCAGTGAAAACAAATGAACTGTAACTATACTCATCAACATGAATAAAACCCAAAAACACACTGAATGAAAGAAAATATACAGCACGGTTCTGTTATATAAAAGTTCAACAACGAGAGACATTAAACAATATATTAAGTAAGGATGTATTTGTAGGTTGTAAAACTACAAAGAAAAGCAAGGGAATGAGTACCACAAAGTCAGGAAAGTGATTACCTCTCGGGAGAAGGAGGAGGAGGCAATCGGAGAGGGGCAAAAATGAGCTTCTAAGGAACTGGCAATGTTCTATTTCTTAACCTGGGTGGATGTTCACTTTATTATTATTATATAAACCATGTATATATATACACATTTATATACTCTATATGTTTCATAGTAAAATTTTCAAGGCAGCGTTTTACTTGCAACTACTGATCAGGGAAAAGTTTATAGAAAGAAGCGTACTATCAAAGAAGCCAACACTTACCAGTGCTTCTTCATAGGGTTTGTATTTCTCCAACTGCTGCAGCGCTTTGTTATAGCTCTGAATTACTGATTCTGGTATTGGGTCTTCTGACCATTCTTCATACTCTGCAAATGTGGCCTCCATATCTATTGAAAGATGGATTCAGCCCCGTGGGTCTTGCCATTGGGTTTTAGCCACCAAACATAGATTAACCATGAGATTCAGGTCCCTCCCACACCTCTGGCCAGGACTGCTCTTCTGGGTCTAATCCTGAGCTCTTCTGCTGAGCCCAGACTTGGTCTTAGAATCTGTCTCAAAGCACGGTCCCAGGCAACCCTACCAACACTCAGCTAGTGCTTCCCATGTTCTAACACTTCACAAACTTTAACCCATTTGATCCTCACACTCCAGGAGGTAGGTTCTATTAGGATCCTCATTTCGCAGCTGAGGAAACTGAAGCACAAGGAGATTAAGTCACTTGTCTACAGCCAGTGGTAGAGCAAGGATTTGAACCCAGGCGGTCTGGCTCAAGTTCATACTCTAATCACTATGCTATGCTGTCTCACGTTGGTATGTGAGATGAAATCTACCAGCCAGCTCAGTTCTAGCCTTTTCTGCATGTCACCCAAGTGTTCAATGGGACAGCCACTTTGTAATCTGTTAAAGCAGATCCAAATAAACCATGAGGTAAAGAGAAACAACACCTGGGCTCAAGTGAAGTTGCCTAGACGTTCTGCACGTATACAGTGCAGAATCATGCCTTGCAGAAAAAACAAGATTGCAGTGCCCAACTCTTTGCGAACTCCAAAAACTCCTCCCAGCACCACACATGCTCACAGCAGCAGAGCCACAAAGGCTTGGCTTGCCAAAATATATTCACCTAAAAAGGAGAACCCTCACCAAACCCCAAAGATTTAAACATGAATACTTCCAACCAAATCAACCCTCACAGAGGAAAGATACAAGCCCAGTAACACCCCTACTCTGTTGCTAAAGAGGTTACTCCTAAAGAGAAAAGGCTCGATAATGGAACTCTTACTCAATAAAGTTTCCCCAGAATACAGGGTGTCACCTTCCCTATTCCTTTCAAAGAACTTATCTCCCCCTTTCCAACAAGGTTTTAAAGTAGGAAAGAGATCTCAACTGGGAGTCAGAAAGCCAGGCTTCTAGTCCTGCCTCTGATTCATACAACCCTCTTGCGCATTAACAATTCAAGATAACATTTTACCAACAAGCTCACCCAGAGTGTCTGATGAGTACACGGATGCTGTGCAAGGTCTGATTACATGACACACCCCAAAGCATTCTGAAAACCACGGTGATGTGCCCATTTCTCTTACCATACAGTGGGATCGCCAGCTGCCGCCGGAATAGACTGTGGACCTTCTCAAGCTGTGAATCAAAGGTTTGTTCCCAGTCAAAAGGGGAAAGGAAGCCAGCTATGGGCTAAAGAAGCAAATTAGTAGTACATGACAAACTTTGGCTCTTCCTACTTCAAAAAATTTTCAACAGATTTTTAGTTCAAACTGAAAAAAAATGTATATGACCTCTTATACAGGAGGTATTATGCCAACTGCAACAAAGGGTGCAAAAATAAATGCTTATCTCTGCCTCTGTTTATATTGGGGAGGAAGCAAGGAATAAAAGAAACGTATCCAAATGACTACAGCAAGGCAGGAAGTATCATAAAAGCCAAGTATCACGGTACTGCACAAAGTATCACAGTATTGCAGTTTCAAAGAAACAGATCACAGTTCTAGGGGTGAGTCTTGTTGTTATGGAGAGAGAGTCAGGAAGGACTCCTGGAGGAGCTGGCATTTGGGATGAGTCTGCAGTCTCCCAGGAAGGGAAGAGCCTGGGTAAAAGCACAGTGGCAAGAATGTTCAGAGGGCAGGCAGGCATCCAGACAGTGGGGAGCAGAGTCCATGCAGGAATCATGACTGACACTAGAGGGAGCCACAAATATCAGGCAAAGAGGTAGATATGGTGCCTTAATTCAGGGGTGAGCAGAGGCACCACTACAGAATACTGCACAGGGATGTAATCAAGACGTGACTGAGGCTACTTTAGTAATAATGGTCTAACTAAGAGAGGGCTCCACTGCGTGCCGACAGTAACCTTCCGTGCACACACAAACACAGTGAGAGGGATGCTGCAGTAAAATTCTACAAATCATAGTCTAAAAAATGCAATATGATGGAGTCAAACCTCCTCTCATGGTTACTATTAAACATTTTGCGGGAGGCACATTCACAAGTATATTCACATGTAACCATGTAACTAACTTACTCATAGTATTTTTAAGTATCAGAAAATAAACTGAAGAGTCACCTGCTTTTAAGTCAAACAACTCAGTCTTGCTATTCCATAAAGACTACTGATTTTACTTATTTTACAGCCCACCCACTAAGAGATTGGAGAAGACCATCTAGTGAACTGTTAGCTACAAGACTCATCTTGTGACATTTTGTTTCAATTAATCCTTTCAAAACTACTTAAATAGACAGCCCTTGACTATTTAGATGCACACAGGTCACAAACACAGGCACTTACCCGAGCAGCTTCCACGATCGCACTTTCAAACTCTCGATAAGCCTCCCATAGGGCGAGCCCTTTGGTCATGTGTAGGCCGACGGACGAGAGCGCCCTTTCAAACACAGAGCGCACTTTCTCAAGGCCGCCCTTCTGGCCAATCCCACCGACTGAGTACTGGCCGTACTCCAGCCAAATGTTAGGACCTAAAAATGGGAAGTGTTCTTTTCAGTTCTGGATATAAGTCCCCAGAATCAAAACTGACACACGATGGAAGAAATTTACCCACCAAGAAAGCAGTCATTCATGCGAAAAGCTAAGACCACCATGAACAATAAGAGCAACTCACCTGGACTACTACTGCAGCCTGAAAAGAAACTACATCTTAAACAACGTTCTTAAGAAAATAATCACTGAGCTGTCACTGCATCAACAGTACAGAAACAGGTTGCTGTCTAGTCAATTCGGACTCACAGTGACCCTACAAGACACAGTAGAACTGCCCCATAGGGTTTCCAAGGCTGTAAATATTCACAGAAGGAGAATGTCACATCTTTCTCCCGTGGAGTGACTGGTGGGCTGGAACCGCTGACATTTTGATTAGCAGCCAAGTGCTTAACCACTGTGCCCCCAGGGCTCATCAACAGTATATGGCAGGTGGCAATTCCTAAGGACTGTGAGTAAAATGTTTCTTTATGAAACTGAAGGAAACCAGTAATGGATTTCAATGAAAACGGTTACAAATCCGACTCAACCTTCAGAAGGACTTCAAAGCCCAGAATCTTTCAACTTTTGAATTTTGATTCGTGTTTAAGCCTTCTGGTCAAAGTGAAGAAACAAAACTAAAAGCACCAATCCTGTTATTAGAAATTTGTACTTTAAATACGGATTTTTAATGATGTTTAAGCAAAAAAATAAATAAATAAGACCTCAGTTGCCTTGTTCCTTTCACTTTTTCTGTTAGCCCTTTACCTACTCATTCCCGTGGCTTTAAGGCCAGATTAATGAATTAAACTCTTTATGAATGCACTGATTCTTACAGTAAATGTTTTTACCTACTGAGTCACTTTACAGGGATAGGAAAATAATTTCAGAGGCCTATACATTAACCTTTTAAAATAAAGATACTAAAAAGATCAAGAAGCCAATTTGGGAATGACATGTTTTCATGAGGCTTGCTCTTCATTGAGAAACCTATTTCAATGAACTTAGCCAAAGTTTGCTAGCTACTGTTTTTGCTCATCAATACAGACCTGCCAGATGGGCTGCAAGTAAAAATGGAAATGAGCTAACTGCTGGATCTGAGGCCCTCAGCAAGAGTAAGACAAGGGCCTAACCATTGGGGGAAGCTGCAGGAAGTACGTACACGGAACTTCTCTGTAGTACTTTTGCAATTTCTTGTGAATCTGTAATTATTTCAAAATAAAAAGATTTTTTAACTCACAAAAAAAAAGACAAGATTTACTGGCCTAAAGGAGACTGGAGAA